AGAGCAGAATTTACCTGCTCCTTTACTACAAGAATTCTATAGAAGACAAAAAATCAAATATAACAAAGTATTTTTCCAAATAAGAAACAACAACATCAAAAAATTTAACAAAATAAAAGTAGATCAATTTTCAAAAATAACTTTTCAGGAAAAATGGTTTAAAAATCTAACGAACATCACTTTTCCTTATAATGTTAAAAAACTTTTGTCTTTGGGTCCAAAATTTTGCCTATTTCCTAGTGCTAGAGATTTTAAAATGTCTTCTCTTCTCTCAGATATCGAGTTTCTTATTTCTGGTTTAGAACCCCAAGAAAAGGACATCATAAGATCTCAAAGCACAAATGTTATCACTAACTATCTACACAAAACAAGTAAAGAAGGACACTTCTTAAACACAATATACAATGAGTGCAAACAATTTTTAAAATCACATCCAGAGATTTACATTGTTAGAAGTGACAAGGGAAATGTAACAGTTGCAATGTATAGGAATGATTACATTGACAAAAGCAATAGTTTACTTAATGACACAAACAGTTATATCAAATTGAAAAACAGTCCAGTGTGCACCCTCCAACAAAAGGCGAACAAACTGGTTTCGGATTTAGCTTCTTCTAAATCCATAACAACAGAAGTTGCAAAATCGTTAAAAATTTACAATGCAGTTGCACCTAGATTTTATACACTGCCTAAAGTTCACAAACTCACTCTTTCAATGAGGCCTATTGTCTCTTCTATTGATGCTCCTAACAGTAAACTTGCTAAACACCTTACAGATATCCTTACAATTTCCTACAACAAATCCAATGAATTCTATATTAAAGATTCTTTCACATTTAGCAACTTCATTAATAATGTTAAAGTTCCGAATAATTATATATTGGTTAGTTTAGATATTGTGTCACTATTTACAAACCTACCACTAGACGCAATTCTCAACAGCATTAAAAATAATTGGAACAGCATCTCTTTACATACCAAGATCAGTTTAGATGATTTTATAAGAATTTTAACATTTATTTTTGACTCTAACATCTTTTTGTTCAATGGTAATTTTTTCAAACAAATCTTTGGCACTCCAATGGGCAGCAAAATATCTCCCATTCTATGTAATTTTGTTTTGGATGAACTTATAAGAAAGTGTAAAGAAAAGATACCTTTTCACATACCTTTCATCAAACGATATGTAGATGATTTGATTTTATCAGTCCCGGAAAACAAAATCACTGATGTTTTAAACATCTTTAATGCCCAGTGTGAACACTTAAAGTTTACGGTTGAGAGAGAGGCTGAGAATATGATTCCTTTTTTTAGACATGCTGATATATCGTGGCAGTGATGGCATGCTAAAGACGGAGTGGTATCGTAAACCTTGTTTTAGTAACCGTTTCATAAACTTTTGTTCTCAACATCCATCTAAGATGAAAACAAATTTGGTTTTGGCCCTCAAAACTAGGGTTATCAACTTATCACACATTGAGTTCAGAGACAAGGGACTAAAAAAGTTGAGATCTATACTACAAGAGAACTCCTATCCCATAGGGCTTTTAAATAAACTCATTTTTGGTATACCCGGTTCGCTATTCCCAGTCCGAACTGTCTAGTGATTTTAGTAATTATTTTTTTTCGAAGTTAGTAACTTTTTGACAGACTCGAAGTGGTTGGAAAATACTATACAACCAAGCATACGTGCTCTTAGTCAAAATTAATGTAAATAAAATAAAAACAATCAATATTTATTTATTTACACCGTATAATGTATTGATAACAAATATTAAAATTATTTATTGTACAAAATAAAAAAGTGGGAATAAATTCTACAAAATTAAGAAGTCAAAGTGAGGTTAAATAAGAATAAGACACAGCAAGTTTCTTATGTATTTACAACATTTACATAATTCGATAAATATATTTTAATGATCAACTTACCTCAACAGGGTTTTCATTCGGTAAAAAAAATGGTAGGCATTTTGAATAAACCTTTGTCCAGTTTTATTACCTTGTAATCTAGGAACAGCATCCTTACTAATCTAAAAATATTAACTAAAAAAAAACTTTTTAAAAAACATTTTATCATATTTATTAAGAAAACTTACCAACGCATTAGCTGATGGAACAAATGGAAAACTTTGACTATCCATAATAATAAAATTTAAAATATAACCAACTAATTAACTGAATAGAACTAACAAAAGAATTAAACAAAGATAATAAAACAATAAAACTATATTAAATTAAATAAACAACGCGAATAATACAAATTTTTACTACAATATTTTAAATTGTAACAATTCAAATATTATATTTTAAATATACAGGGAAAATTTGATGGGTTTAGTATACACTTCCACTATTTAGAATAATTCTTCTTTTTTTCAAAGAAAGAAGTCTGCAATAGTAGTATACTTGAGCTGTTTATACTGAGAAGTAGGAATTGTTGTGTTGTAGGTTTCCTACAATGAGTCTGTCAAAATATGCCCTAGCTAAGCGAATAGACAATACTACTTTTCCGTTGCAATTTTCTGAGAACCAAAATTTTCATAATAATGAGGTCCGACAACTGATATCGACATTGACACACAACACATCAGAGCTACCACAATCTAAAATAACGTATGGTTGCCTACCCTATATTCCAGTCCTAACCCCTAAGATAATGAACATTTTCAAAAATGTTAGTGGCTTAAAAATTGCAACTAAAAATGTGAAAACGGTATCGAAGTTGTACACAAAGACAAAGGATCCTTTCACAATACAGGAATCATCGAATGTTGTTTATTCTATACCGTGTGCTAATTGCAAAAACGTGTACATTGGTGAAACATCTCGTAATTTTCACAGTAGGGTGATCTCACATCGCAGCGACATAAAAACCAAAAAAATTAACGCATGCGCGTTGACAGAACATGTATTAAGTTTAAAACATGAATTTAATTTCGAGGATTCCTGTATTCTGGCAAGGGAAAATAACCATTCTAAACGTGTTTTCCTGGAAATGTGTTTAATAAAGTCCAGTGCGTCTTGTATAAATAAGAAGTCCGATATAGATAAATTGAGTAACATTTATTGTTATTTACTGACTAAACATCAAAAATGACACAAAGACTTACTGGTACATATACACACCATAATACACCTGCATGCTAAACAGGTTGCATACCATCAACACAGGTTTAATACATTACCTTCTATTAATAACATATGAAGAACTCCTAATGAATTTTTAATCATACTATTTTTATTTTTGTTTTTTTTTATTCTCTATGGGTTAGTTAAAACACAACACCAAGAAGATGTAGAAAACAAACTTTTTAGAACTTTTATTATTTTTAACTAAATTTTAAAATGTATTGTTGTATTAATTATTGTATAAGTTTTAGTGTATATGTTTGTTATTAATGTTGAGTGTCATAGCTTCGTACAAATAATCTCAACGACTAGTAAGTACACTGATATTTTGTGATATATTGTAAATATTTACACATTTTTCTAATTACAGTGTCTTGATAAAGGAATTAAACAATTCCGAAAGCTAGACCAAAAGTCAAAAGAGTGTTTCTGTAACATCCCGGCCAAAACTTCTGACTGCAGCCCCAATAAACTTTGTTGTTTATATATATATATATATATATATATATATATATATATATATATATAATATATATATATATATATATATATATATATATATATATATATATATATATATATATATATATATATTTTATAAAGGATGTTTAAGTAAAAATTTTGTATTTTATGGTATATAGCCACAGAATAATAAACAATCAGTATGCCCATTCTCAGATGCCGCCTTTGAAGTTTTTCAGCACGAGCGCCATGTTTTAGAAGAAAACACATAACACAGACATATGATTTCTGAGGTTATGTAATTGTTTATATTTATGTTTAATTATATTATATTTATGTTATTATATTTAACAATGTTAATATAATTGTATAGTATGTCTATGATTGCCGTAAGTCAATTAAACCGGGTTAATTTTTCTACGCACACCACATAAACAACACTGGTTCCCTCTAAAACATGGCGGAACGTCTGCGCGAAGGAGATGCGCGTACTTAATTTTCCATGGGGATTGGGCATTCTGATTGTTTATTATTCTGTGATATAGCCAACCACAGGAATTTTAATTTTTTGTGAATTTTGATACTAGTTTTGTGCAACGTGCAACCAATTATTCTGTGGTGTAACGTGCAACCAAAGAATATAGACGCTTAGCGTCTATATTCTTTGGTGCAACTATTATATTATGCTTATTATATATTCTTTGGTGCATTGTTGGAACCAGAGAACTTTGGAACCATGTAATAGTTCTGTGTATCTGACATAATATTGCATTATTTTAATGACGTCAAATATTTTTCTTTTGTAGATTTATAAAATATTTAAAATATTAATAAATCAATATTATAAATACACATGAAACTATTTAATCAGGAATTTCATCTTTATTCACCTTTATTTGATTGTGTCATCTGCACCTGCCTCTGACATGTTCGAAGATAAATACTATTACGGTCCCGGAGGCGTAAATAAAAATATAAACATTTTTAGAATACCCACAATAGTACAACATTTGAAAGTTGAATATAACATTAAATTATGTAATTGTTACTATGGAATAAACTAAGGCAGTTTATACAAAACACTGCTTAAAAACTCTATTTACACTGTAATAAAATAATACCTTTTAAGACATGGAAAAGTAGACATATTTTTATCAAAATAATATAACCACAAATTAATGAAAATAACATTGATAAAATTCCATAAGGGAAAGACAAAGTAAATATTCCAAAAAATTGTAGTTTTTATTTTTTATCTAAGAAACTGTGTAATGCTATGAGATCTTATTTTAAGAAAATTAAGTATTAATAATAAAGTAAGTAAACAACATACTTAGTGTACTTAAAAAGATTACACCTAATGTATACAACAAAGTTTGATAAAGAGTCTATGACATTCTTTATTATTTGAAGTGCAGAAAAAAACTTACACAATGACTGGAAATGAAAAGTATGTATGTCCTTTGCTTAAAAATCCAGAAAGTTATAATCCAGATACTTTAAATTTGGTTGACAATTTACAAGCAAGGAACTATTGGTTGCCCTGTTTAGAACAAATGGTCAAAAAGTTTGTTAGTAAAGCTCAATATTTACACCCAGATGATCCGAAAGCTACAGAAAAAGCAGAAGTTTGTTACCAGGATTTTCACAATCTTCTTGAACAACTTACATCAGATCCCAAGTAAGTAGTAAATCAGTTCTTCACTTTAGCTTGTAGGTAGTTACTTTATTTTTTTAAATTTACAGTAATATGCGTAAATATCCTGTAACACACCTTAGGCATTGAATTTAAGTATATAAATTAGGTACATAAATAACAATTGTATTTAACAAAAAGTGAAATTATTTACTTAAATATGACTTACGAAAATGAATTTCGTACCCATAAGTCAATCTTTATACCAGAAGGTCACCTAGTTACATGCAACTTTGATATTTTTTAATAATACACATATGAACATTTCCAACTTGTACCATTTCCTTTTTAATTTGTACATTCTTAATTATCCTAATCCTAATTATCAATTGAACCTATTTTTAGTATTTTAAAGCCTCTTAGCGTCAGAACTTTATTGGAGTTTAATGAAAACAACCTACGATCAAAATATTTTAAAGATGCTTGGCAAGTCCAAAAAGAAAATGAAAGTGCAAATGCGTTATCTCAATTTAAATCTAGAATTATAAAGATAGACTCTATTAAGGATTTTCACAGCAAGTGGTTTGAGATAATACAAGGAGTTTTAGCTGGAAATGTTTTTGATTGGGGTGCAAAAATAGTTATAGACATTTTGGAAAGTAATAAAGGAAATTTTGGATTTGATGAAGCAACAAAGACTATTCAAAAGAGACCTTGGTTTTCAGATAAATTAGATGAATTTGTTGATAAATTAAAGGTAAGCTAAAATTTTATTATATTCTGTCCCTTACCATTTTACTAAATTTTAATCTACTTTACTAGGTCCATATACCTAGAATATATATATATATATATATATATATATATATATATATATATATATATATATATATATATATATATATAAAGTAGTTAGGTATTATTGACTGACACGTTATGTAAAATAAAGTTTTATTGTGAGGATGCAGTCATTTAAGTAGGGCAGGATAAGTAAAACTCTTTGTTCTTAAATCAAGCTTTCGCAAAATTTATTTGCTTCATCAGGATATGCTGATATGTTGTAAGTTTTTATATAGTTTTTATACAGTGTTTTTCTTAATTCTAATTTCATTGTATTTACCATAACATATTTTAGCATATCCTGATGAAGCAAATAAATTTTGCGAAAGCTTGATTTAAGAACAAAGAGTTTTACTTATCCTGCCCTACTTAAATGACTGCATCCTCAAAATAAAACTTTATTTTATATATATATATATATATATATATATATAATATATATATATATATATATATATATATATATATATATATATATATATATATATAATAAAGATCACTCAGATGAGTGGTGGGTTCAAATATCGGTCTACTAGGTGGAGAAATAAAAGAGAAAGTTGATACTACTTCATCTATTTTGAAGACGTTTCGCTATCGAATTCTGATAGCATCATAAGTTCATCTAAAAATTTTACATTATGAGAACCACACATTCATGAAGAAGATGTTACATAGTTACCTTAAAAAGACATGTAGTTGTCAATGGTATTAAAAAGTTAGTACAAAAACTCAGATAAATGGACATCATATGGTGATATTGTATAAACAATCAAATAACTAACAACATTTAGAGACTTAATAAAAATTAGCAAAGCAACAGAACATGTGGTCTAACCTACATATATAATATTTTATATAATATTAACTAGTGATAAAAGAACTAAGAAAATCATCGATTCACTTCCAACTATGAAAGCATTATTTTATGACTTCATCTTAACTTTTGGTAGCATTATTTAAGTTATCTACATTGAGATATAAAAAATATATATAAAAAAAAAATATAAAGTTACCACTGTATGCTTAGCACCTGTTGCGGTTGAAATGGCGTTAATTGAAAGATACCGAGCCAATGACATGAACAGACAGCCATGAACAGACATGAACAGAATGTGTGGTTCTCATAATGTAAAATTTTTAGATGAACTGATGATGCTATCAGAATTCGATAGCGAAACGTCTTCAACATAGATGAAGTAGTATCAACTTTGTCTTTTATTTCTCCACCTAGTAGACCGATATTTGAACCCACCACTCGTCTGAGTGATCCTTATTATATATTGGATAGACGGTCGTACTCCTTGTTGCGATATATATATATATATATATATATATATATATATATATATATATATATATATATATATATATATATATTAAAAAAACTACGACCGTCAATTTATATTAATAAAGTATTCAACTAGTGAATTCAGAGGTTTATTCGGTCATTCAGGTTGGCAAAATAAAAAACAGAAGTCAACTACTTCATAAGTTCATAGAAGACGTTTCGCTTTATACTTCTAAAGCTTCATCAGTTCTCTAAAATACAAAGATGACATAGAGTTTATAAGAAATACAGATCTAATAATTTATTACTTACAACTCAATATGTACTATTCAAGATGTTATTGTATATGTACTTAAGTTTACTCATAAATTTAGAACTAACTAAAAAAAAAAAAAAATTAAAATTAACATTTGCAGAAACGAAGATTTACAAAAATTTTAACCGTATATTTGGCTTCATTTAGAGATGGTTCTCCAATGAAGACAAGCAAAACACTGATTTATTGCAATCTGTGCAAAACGACGGACGCGATACCGAAAGTTTTTAAGGGCCATATGTTCAACAAATTCCAAGGTTTGAGACAATTATGAACTTCTACGGGGGTCATTAAAAGATTAGTTGGACGGGTGGATTATGTGACGGAAAAATTTAATATGATTTTTTTTTGTAATTTATGTTTTAATGAAACTTAGAGATCTGGGATGATAAAGTTATTATTTTGAATGGAAAATAAGGCTATTTTGAATGAAAAATACTGGTATTATTTATTTCGTAAGATGAGAGAGTGGTAAACTTGGCTCAAATTGTCGATGTCAGTTCTTTTGTTTATTGTAGATGGATTGGATTGGTACCAAAAGCCAATAGCATCAGGCAATTACTATTCAAATCATACTACTCGTCAAAAATATAATACTGTACTAGGTATGAAAGACAGGATAATATCCATTGTTGATGACAACGTTTTACAAAAAAATCTGGACATATCGTTGCAGTTAATGCAAAATGTCATATGTTTCAAAATGCACTTTTCAGAAGACAAAAAAAACTAAATATTTAGTGTTTGAGTAGTGTTTTTCTCCAAAGTAGAAGATATATAATAGGTATTGTCCTTTGTTTTTAAGTATATCTTCTAATTTGGAGAAAAACACTACTCACACACTAGATATTGTTATGAACATGCATTCAGCGTGTCCCATATAGCGGCTGCATCTCGAAAGCGACTCGATGTTTCCAGAAAAAACAGTCGCGTACGCGAATTAGAGGTGGGAATGTTCTAGAACATAGTAACTTTGATATATTATATATATATATATATAATATATATATATATATATATATATATATACAGGGTGTCCCATAATTAATTGGACATTAGCTAATGGGTGATAGCTGACATCAAAATAAAGCGTTTGAGCTCAAATTGCTTAGGAAAAATTTTGCTAGTTTTCGTTCTACAGGGAGATTCATTAATATTTTTTTATATTATTTTTATGGATATATTGAAAACTATTCAACCGATTTAAGTGAAATTTGGTATCTTGCAATTATTTAGTATGCTTAATAAGAAAATGATATTAGTTTTACCATTGACACTAGGTGGCGCCACTTACTGTAACATTGGTTCATTAATGGGGCCATAATTTTTTTGTCCGCCCTGTATAAACATTCTAGGAAAAAAACATGAAATAACACTACACAATATAACTCTACACAAAAAAGGTATTCTTGTTTCAAATCCAAAAAGTACACCGTTTTCGAAATAAACGTATTTTGTTAATTATGCATGTCTCTATTTAATTTTTTGCAAAACAAGTATGCTTTGAACTTAATGACAACGTCAAGACGTAACTACGAATTTATTTATTATTAGTTGTCAAAGGTAACTACGAATTTATTTATTATTAGTGGTCAAAGTGCAGTGCGAGTCATTATTTGTCAAACTGCTATTAAGTTTTTTATAAACCACTTAAGATAAAGGAAAAATGCTACGTCATAGTGAATTTTCTAATGTAGAAATGCGCGATATGATTTGTTTGTATGCCCAGGAAAATTTTCGTTCTCGTAAAGCAGCTGAACTCTCTTTCGAACTTTATCCCAATAGAAGGCAACCAAACCATAAAACTATGAGTTCATTGTTCGACAGATTAGGCGAAACAGGGTCATTTCATCCCAAAAACAGGAATGCTGGAAGACCGAGAGTAATTGATGCGGATATGGAGGATGAAATTGTTGTGTGTGTTGCAAAAGATACAGAAACTAGTACAATGCTTGTTTCTCCGGCCACTGGTATAATCAAATCTACGGTGTCAAGAATAATACGGACAGAAAATCTGTATCCGTATCGTTTTACTCCAGTACAGAATCTTTTACCACAGGATTTTCCAGCAGGCTCCGATTTAGTCAGTTTATGATGGGACGGCATTTAGACGATCCAATGTTTTATAATAAAATTTTATTTACCAATGAAGCCACATTTACTAGAAGGGGTGTATTTAACTGGCGCAATAGCCACACCTACGCGACAGAAAATCCTCATGCATTTCAAGAACATCATTTTCAGCACAAGTTTTCCATAAATATCTGGTGTGGTATATTTGGGGATTGTATTGTAGGACCATTCGAATTACCAACTAGGCTTGACGGAGTAACGTATCTAAATTTTTTGAGAAAAGATTTACCAACTCTTTTAGAAGACATACCTCTAAATTTGAGACGGAACTCTTGGTACATGCATGATGGTGCACCACCACATTATAGCCTAGAAGTTAGAAATTATCTAGATGAAATTTATCCTCAAAGGTGGATTGGTAGAGGTAGTGTATACCCATGGCCAGCACGCAGTCCCGAACTAAATCCCCTAGACTTTCACTTGTGGGGCTACCGAAAGTCACTTGTTTATAAAAAAAAATAAATAACCGTCAAGAGTTATGGCAAAAGATTTGACAAAAAGGATTTATGACAAAAGAGAGTTAACGTAATTAGGGCCCAAAGAAACTCATTATTTAAAATAAGATAAAACTTACACAAAAGATTTAGATTATGTAGTTTATCTATTGGTGCACATTTTGAACACTTATTGTAATTTTTTTTCGTTTCGTTTTCAATTATTCACTTTGTTAATTGTTTTATATTCACTTCATTTTTTAATTTAATTTCTGATTTCTTTAAAATTTGTTACTGAGTCAAAGGTTTAATAAAAATAATTGTTTCAATCATATGCATTTTGTTTGTAGCGTTTTATATTTAATGTCTAAATAATAATATAAATTCGATTCTATATAGTACGCCCCTCGTATGCTAGAAATGTGTTGTCTGTAGAGATTTTTAAATACGCAATAATTCTTCAATAAATAAAGGCGTATTTGCTAAAGAAAACAATTTATGGCTTTTTAACTTCAACGTTCCCAGAAAAATATTGCAACCTTGGTATTATTTTTTCTGAAGCGCAGTAACGCCGGAAGTTTTGAACGAGTTTGAGTGAAGAATTTGTTGATTTGACAAGATGGAATGGTTTTGTGCGGGGAAAAGAGGGGTTACTATCCGCTGATTGAGATCGAGGAGGGTCAAGCGAGGTCGGTGATGAATAATTGCTCGCAGGGAAAGGTCGTTTTAATTGTGATGTGGTAAGC